TAGCCTCTGATGAATTCTTCATCATGTGGGTCCCCAGCAGCTTTACTTCTCTCATTGAACCTTGATTGCTGTAGACTGGAAGTAGTGTCTGTGGCAAAGTAATACCCTGTAATGTTTTACTTGAAATATAGTGAGGCAGAAAGAATAGGAGTGAGGGTAGAGGCTAGACCATAGCTCTACTGAAGTTTCTGCAAGAAAGACAAGGCAGGGTGGGGGAAACAGTTTAGCACTGGTCAGTTTGAATAATTTCAGTGGGCTCTGAGCTCTAAGGGCAGGCTCTTTGCTGTCTCTAATAATTGGCTGGCCCAGGGAGGTGCACTGCATCCCTACCAGATAGGGATTTTTAAGATGAGAAAATATAATATACCGAAAATTTAAAAATACACACAATACATGAAGTATTTTATTCTTATGGATAAATACCCAACAGTGGAATAGCTGTGATCTATGGTAGGTATATGTTTACCTTTTTGAGAATTTGCTAAACAATATTTACAAGCGGCCAGACCAAAGTGCCCTCCCACCACCAGCATATGAGAGGTCCAGCTCTTCATACTCACCAACACTTGATGTCTTAGTCTGTTTGCATTGCGATAAAGGAATACCTGAGGTTGGTTAATTTATAAAGAAAGCATGTTTATTTGGCTTGTGGTTCATTCAGGCGGCACAAGAAGCATGGCACCAGCTTCCACATCAGGTGAGAGACTCAGGCTATTTCCACTCATGGCAGAAGGTGAGGGTGGAGGGTGCTGATCACATGGCAAGAGAGAAGCAAGAGAAGAAGCAGGCAGGTGCCAGGCTCTTTTTAACAATCAGTTCTTGCTGAAACTAGTAGATGGAAAGTTCACTCGTTACTGGGAGGGGGCACTAGGTCATTCATCAGGGATCCATCCAAACACCTCCCACTAATCCCCACTTCCAACATTAGGGATCACATTTCAACACTGATTTTGTAGGGACAGATAACTCAACTGTATCATTTGATATGGTCAGTCTTTTTCATTGCAGCTATTTTAATGGGATGTGGATTAAACCTCAGTTTGATCACCCTAATCATTAGTTATCTTGAACGCCTTTACATGTGCCTGTTTGCCATATGTGTACCTTCTTGGATTACTCTCTGTTCAAATCTTTGCTCATTAAAAAACATTTTTTAAAATTGAATTTTAAAGGTTATTTATATTCTGGATATTTATCATTTACCAGTCTGTAGATGTCTTTTTTAAAATAAACTTTTTATTTTACAATAAAATTAGATTTAAAGCAAGGGTGCAAAAAATTGCCCTGAGAATTCCCATATATCTTTTGCCAGTTTCGCCTATCGCTAAATGTTAGGTCACTATGCACATTTTCTAAAATTATACTTTAAGTTCTAGGGTACATGTGCATAATGTGCAGGTTTGTTACATATGTATACATGTGCTGTGTTGGTTTGCTGCACCCATTAACTCATCATTTACATTAGGTATTTCTCCTAATGCTATCCCTCCGCCATCCTGCCAACTCACGACAGGCCCTGGTGTGTGACGTTCCCCTTCCTGTGTCCAAGTGTTCTTACTGTTCATTTCCCCCCGACGAGTGAGAACATGCGATGTTTAGTTTTCTGTCCTTGCGATAGCTTGCTGAGAATGATGGTTTCCAGCTTCATCCATGTTACTACAAAGGACATGAACTCATCCTTTTTTATGGCTGCATAGTATTCCATGGTGTGTATGTGCCACATTTTCTTAATCCAGTCTATCATTGATGGACATTTGGGTTGGTTCCAAGTCTTTGCTATTGTGAATAGTGCCACAATAAACATATGTGTGCATGTGTCTTTATAGCACCATGATTTATAATCCTTTGGGTATATACCCAGTAATGGGATTACTGGGTCAAATTAAGGTATTTGTAGTTCTAGATCCTTGAGGAATCGCCACACTGTCTTCCACAATTGTTGAACTAGTTTACAATCCCACCAACATCCTCTCCAGCACCTATGCACATTTATCACAACTCATTAACCAACACTGACACATTACGATGAACCAAAGTCTATGTTTTCTTCAGATGTCATTAATTTTTACCTAATGTCCTTGTTCTTTTCTGGGATCCCATCCAGGATACCACATGACATTTACTCATCACATTTGTTTCATCTCCTCTAGCCTGTGACAGTTTTTCAGAGTTTCCTTGGTTTTGATTACTTTGTCAGTTTTGAGCAATTCCGGTGGAGGTGTTCAATAGAACGTTCCTCAGTTTGAATTTGTCTAATGTTTTGATCATGGTAACACGGGTTATAGATTTTTAGGAGGAAGACCACAGGGCAATGTCTTTTCCCACTGTCTTGCGAATGGATGCCCAACTGTTGAAGAGTCGTCTTTTCCTCACAGACTTGCCTTTGCACCTTTGAAAAAACTTGGTTGCTCATGCTTCTATTTCTGGGTATTCTATTCTGTTCCAACGATCTGTTAGTGAAATATTTGAGTACTATATACTTGTAATAAGTCTTGACATTAGGTAATAATTGCTCTCCATTTTTGTTATTGTAGGTCTTTTACATTTCTATATGAATTTCAGAATCAGTTTGCCAGTTTGGACAAAAAGATAGCCTGCTGGAATTTAGATTGGGGTTGTATTAAATTTATAGATCAACTAAAGAAAAATGACATTTTAACAATTTTGAGTTTTCTGATTCATGAACATATCTATTTATCTATTTATTGGTCTCTCACCAATGTTTTGTCATTTTCAGTGTACAGTCTTTCACATCTTTTGTCAGATTTCTCTCTTAGTATTTTTTATTTTTGATGCTATTTAGGTGCTGTTTTCATTCCAATTTTCAACTGTTCATTGCTAGTACATTTGACCCTTGAAGAATGCGAGGATTGAGGTACCAACCCCCAAGCAGTAGAAAATTAGCATAGAAGGGTTTTTTGGGTTTCTTTTTGTTTTTTATTTTTGAGACAGAGTCGCGCTCTTTTGCCAAGGTTAGAGTACAGTGGGGTGATCTCAGCTCAATGCAACCTCCACCTCCTGGGTTCAAGTGATTCTCCCGCCTCAGCCTCCAGAGTAGCTGGGATTAAAGACATGCGCCACCACACGCAGCTAAGTTTTTGCATTTTTAGTAGAGATAGGGTTTCACCATGTTGGCCAGCCTGGTCTCCAACTCCTGGCCTCCAGTGATACACCCACCTTGGCCTCCCAAAGTGCTTGGACTACAGGTGTGAGCCACCGCACCTGGCACACAGAATTTTTGACTCCCTAAAAATGTAACTATTGATCACCTGCTGTACATTAGAAGTGTTACCAATAACAGAAACAGTCTCTTGACACATATTTGGTATGTTATATGTGTTATATACTGTATTATTATAATAAAGTCAGCTAGAGAAAAGAAAATGTTACTTAGAAAATCTTAAGGAAGAAAAAATTAAGTATTCATTAAGTCGGAGTGGATCTTCATAAAGGTCTTCCTGTTGATTGTCCTCCATTGAGTAGGCTGAGAAGGAGGAAGAGGAGTGTTGGTTTTGCTGTTTCAGGGGTGGCAGAGGGGGAAGAAGTGGAGGAGATGGAAGGAGGAGAGTCGGGTACACTTGGTGTAACTTTACCGAATTACATCATAATTATTATTTGAGTTTTTTGCCTTTACAATTCTTTGAACATGCTTTTATGCAGTACTAATCCTTCTTCCCCATTTGCTTTAGTTTCAGTGCCCATTCATGGAAGGGTTTGTGTTATAAAATAAGTCAAAAGTAATCTTAATAATTGGAAGCCTTTACTAGACTGTTTAAAGGAATTTGTTTCCTGGCATGGCTTCTTCTTTAGTATCTGGTACTCATTCAAAAGCACTCATCTCCATCAAGTCATCTTCTGTTGAGTCCTCTTGTGTGGTGTCTATTCGTTCTTGAATTTCTCCCAGTTTCATATCTTGAAAGACCATGTCCCCCACCTTTTGTTGCTGAATTAGAGATGTTGTGTTTGGAAGCAGGTGAACCACTTTGATACCTTCAGTGTTGAACTCGTGGGTTCTGGGTGGCTCGGGGCATTGTCCAAAACAAAAGAACTTTCAAAGACAGTCTCTCACTGGCAAGATATTTCCTGACTTCAGGGACAAAGCAATGATAGAACCAATCCAGAAAAGTGTTCTTGCCAAGGCCTTCTTGTACAACCAAAAAACTGGCAGCGGGTATTAATCTTTTCCTTTCAAGGCTTGGGGGCTAGCAAGTTCATGGATGGGGGCAGTCCTGTTTGTAAAGCCAAACATACAAACATATAAACTATGTCAAAGGCATAGCGTGGATACTGTGAAAGGAGGGTGAAAACACAAAGATGACATCATCTCTGACCTCAAGGAGTGCTCAGCAGACTGAGGGAGACAAGTATATATTTTCCTGAAAGAGGGCACTGGAGTAATGGCATGTTTAGAATGTGGAAGTTGGGCAGTCACTGAGAGGCAGCTCAGCAGAGTGCTCGCGCAAGGACTGGGCGGGCAACTCCGCACTGCATGCAATGTATCTTTGGAAAGCCATTAAAATAGGTGATGGCTACTTTCCATCAAGTCCCTGGTATGGTCCATGGAGGCAGGGTTGTCAGTCTCATTTCAGCATTTTAGAGACTTCTCAGGGTTTGGAAAAGGAAGAAGACAAGCAGCAATGTGTATACATTGCAGAGACACAGGTGAACCCCAAGTTAGGAGGTTAGGAGATCAATGCTAAGGTCCTTGTTTTCTTTACTTGGAGCATGAGTTGCCATCTTTTCTGGACAGAGTTTTTGGTTGCCTAAAGGTAAAATCGAAATTTTGCTTTGGACATATTCCTAAAACTTTAGCTTTAATCAAATTTACTTTTACTTTATCTTTCTGAACCTTCAAGGTCCAAAAGCATTGGTTAACATTTCTGCTTCTAAACTCACATTGCAGCACAGGGCATGTTCTGCCCCCAAGGCAAAGAACATAAACTACTCTCGTCTGGAAAACATACAAATAGGTATCTCAGCAAAGGCTACTCATGTATTCTTGTTCTTTTGAGTAAATCATTGTCAGTGACTGATTTTTTTTTTTTTTATGAAAGGATAAATACATGCCCTTTATTGGGGTCAGGTTTTGTGCTTGTACTTCTCCTGTCTACTGTATCATAGGAGCTTAGAATCCCAGCTGCTTGCGTTCGGCTGCGGTTCCCTGATGACTCGCACAGGGTGGAGCAGTCCCCTTCCCCTATGTGTGTGTCTGCTGCTGGCCTGTGGCTTTGCCGAGGCAGGGAAGCTGCTGGTAGTGCCCGTGGATGGGAGCCACTGGCTCTCCATGAGGTCGGTGGTGGAGAAACTCATTCTCAGGGGGCATGAGGTGGTCGTAGTCATGCCAAAGGTGAGTTGGCAGCTGGGAAGACCACTGAATTGCACAGTGAAGACTTATTCAACTTCATACACTCTGGAGGATCTGGACCGGGAGTTCAAGGCTTTTGCCCAGGCTCAATGGAAAGCACAAGTACAAAGTATATTTTCTCTAATAATGAGTTCATACAATGACATTTTTGACTTATTTTTTTCAAATTGCAGGAGTTTGTTTAAGGACAAAAAGTTAGTAAAATACTTAAAGGAGAGTTCTTTTGATGCGGTATTTCTGGATCCTTTTGATACCTGTGGCTTAATCGTTGCCAAATATCTCTCCCTCCCCTCTGTGGTCTTCGCCAGGGGAGTATTTTGCCACTATCTTGAAGAAGGTGCGCAGTGCCCTGCTCCTCTTTCCTATGTCCCCAGAATTCTCTTAGGGTTCTCAGATGCCATGACTTTCAAGGAGAGAGTACGGAACCACATCATGCACTTGGAGGAACGTTTATTATGCCACCGTTTTTTCAAAAGTGCCCTAGAAATAGCCTCTGAAATTCTTCAAACACCTGTCACGGTATATGATCTTCACAGACAAATATCAATTTGGTTGCTGCGAATGGACTTTGTTTTGGACTATCCCAAACCCGTGATGCCCAACATGGTCTTCATTGGTGGTATCAACTGCCATCAGGGAAAGCCATTGCCTATGGTAAGTCATCTCTCCTTTAGCACATTAAGAATATTTCAGCTTTAGAAATTAAAAAAGGATTCTTTACTGAAGTGTGATTTGACATTTTCATTTGTTTCATTTCAGATTTCTTTCCAATTTAACAAATTATTTTGTGCCAGTGCATGTACTTATCAGTTAGCAAATTTTATAAAACTGCCCTTCTTGAAGATATGTATTTATAATTTATAAAATTGTATATCATATGCAGCCTACATTTTTAAGTACCATGTTTAGAAAAGTACCAAAAACCGCAGTAAGAAATGAAACTCCCCTTTTTTGTTAATTCTATATGACCCCCTAGAGGAAATGCTCTTAGTTTTGTGCACATTCTTTTCATTTTTTAAAAAAAGTACGTACGCACTATATTTAATGTAAATTCTCACACCTATTTTGTTAAAATAAAATCTAGTATTGGGCTGGACATATTCTTCTTTTCTTTGCATTTTTCACTTGCCAATAAATTATAGATACCTTTATAGACCAATACAGACAGCTTTGACAAGTTCTATTAATAATTGCATAAAATACTTTTCTTTGGATAGAATGTAGTTTTTAACCAATTAATATTGATATAGATTTAGGCATTTTGCATTTTTTGCCTTTAGCAATAAGGCCATGTAAACACTCTTTAATGCTTTCCTTACATAAATATATTTCCATATCATTGCTTTTATCTTAGTTGACTGGAGCCCTACATGTAGGGTTACAGGATTTTTCTGAATTGAGGATTGGCCTCTTTTTGCTATTATGTCTTCCTGTTCATGAATATGTATGTCTCACTATTTATTCAGATCTTGTTTTATATACATAAATAAAATTTTTCACTATATAAACATTTTATGTTTCTTATTAACATTTATTCCTCGGCATTTCAGTATTTTTGAAACTATTGGGTACAGGGCAATTTTTCCATTTCTACATTTAGCTGACTATGGGAAATTAAAGTTTTGTTTTTTGCATATGTATCTTGTATCCAGCCACATTACTAACTTTTCTTATTTTTTTTTAGTATAGATTAGATGTACAATATATGATGTCATCTGCAAAGAATTCCCTTCTCTGATATTTATACCACTTATTTTGCTTTCCTGGAGCATATACATCCAAAACACTATTGAGTAATATTGTGAGAGTAGCCAGTTTAAATAGGGATTCAGTCACTTGTGATTGAAAAGTCCTTGACAAATACCAGAATAACATTCTTAGCAAATATATAGTTGCTAAATCTAGATTAAACACCTAATGTCTAATCTCAGTATATTATTTTATTAGGGATAGAGTATACAATTTATCTATTGTTCTGGCCTCTTAAAAGGTTCAATAGACTTGGTAACACAGTCATATTCTCTCACATATTGGCAGATGTTTGGCAAAAGAGTGGCTGTTCAGCCAACTCACGGGAAAGTGAAATAATGCTCTTTCTAAAAAGCAGGAGGACTACAGTTGCAGGCCTTTCAAAATTAAGCATGACTTTCAGATCTTCACAAGACTAGGCTAGGAGATGCAAGTGGCAGAAATCTAAGAGGTTAGACTTGTCTAAGCACTTTTCTCCCCTTTACCCTCCATTAATTATAGTATGCTCCATTAATTATAGTACCAACCTCCACTCATGTGTTGCCTGCACCCCACACCCTTTGGCTGAGGGTGAGGCCCTGCCACTTCCTGAACCCACACTGAGTTCATTGTGGCTCACAGGGTCACCCAGAGGCCTTTAGAGATATAAAAACCTGTATGATTTTATATCACCTATGATAGAGCGATGTCTATAAAATATTAAACATTAAACTATATATAGTTTCATTTATTTTGATTATAAATATCTTTTATGAGATATGAAATAAATGTGTTTATGTGTCTATTAAAGAATATGGATGTATGAGAGTTTTTATACTTGTGGAAGGTTATATATATATTAATGTATATATTTATGACTATACATGTAAAGCCAGCAGAATTCTCACAGAGGAATTCAGAACTCAAAGAAGGCTTTCTGGCAAAGAGCCTTGGATATGGCCCAACCACAAAAGTAAATTGTCATCGAAAGGATGGACACTGCATATTGCTCCTTCCTTGTTTCAGAGGCCAGGATGTGTCTGGGAAAAGCATGCAGTTGGTTACATCTTTCTGGGAAACAGGATTCAGAATCTACGTCTCATCTGTCTGATGAGAAGGAAGCATTACTTGATGATGGAAAATGTGTTTGTGCATGTACGTGTTTGTGTATGTGCAGGTGTGTTAGTGTGCAGTGTCCCAGACCCTGCACAGGGGATTTTCTTGAAGGTCTCCTGTAACAAAATCTCCTTGAGCCTATCCAAGAGAATTACATCCAGAGATGTAACTAAATACTTTAACAAGGATGGCAGATGACCCCATCTCCAACGTCAGGGATCAAATTTCAACGTGAGATTTGGAGGGGACAGACTTCTAAACTATATCATTCTGTGTGGTCATTCTTTTACATTTCAGCATTCTAATGTGTGTGTGTGTTGATTAATGATGTGTAAATAATTCAGCAGAACATTTAAATAGTTTTAATGGGAAAAAGAGGAATTCACTCCTAGTCTTTTTGAATTTTGTTGAGTTCCAACAGAATTAATCAGTGGTTTTAGGTGAAAAGAATTCGGGTTCCGCCTCTACCATCCATGGCAGGTGCAGCTCTGGGGGTGGGATATGGTTACAAATAAATAAAAGATCTGTGCTTCCACCATTGCTCTAAGATTCTGGCTCTAGTCCAAGATCCAAATTCAAAGTTAGCTCTTGGTGGACAAGACTAAGGCCTCCCACTAACATCATTTACATCAAGTTTTTGTTTTCAAAGTTTTCAAACATACACAAAGGAGAGACTCAGTGTAATGAGCACCCACTTATCCATTCTTAGGTTAAATCATTTTCACTATTTTTCTGTGCTAATTCATGTGTCCTTTTATTCTGTCTTTTTAAAGAAAACTTTTAAAAAGCAATTTGTGCCATTTTATTAATAAATTCTTGGCATGTCATTCCATCACTGAATACTTCATTTAATATAAAAAAATAGGAAAAATTTGTTACATAGCCACAGTATCATTATCATATCTAAGACAATAAAAATTCTTTAATATTATCTCATTTACAGTCCATAATTAAATTTCCCCTTATTGTCTCACACAACATCTTTCGATACAGACCAATAGAATAGAATGGAGAATTCAGAAATAAACCCATACATATACATCCTTGGCCAATTGACTAGGTACCAAATTTTGACAAGGGTGTCAGGATCATTCAAATGGAAAAGAATAGTCTCTTTAACAGAAGACCCACCTGGGGTCCTTAAGCTCCAGCATCAGACTCCAAAACCATTTGCAGAGATCATCCAGCAGCTCTCACCATGCCTCTGATGAATCCTTCACCATGTGCATCCCCAGGGATCCTGCAAATATTTTCTCACAGTCTGTTGAGTGACCTTTCTTACAAATGCTTCATTGTAGAATAAATATAGGGTTATAGCAAGGTTGCAACAAATAGTTTAGAGAATTCTCATCTACCCTGTGTCCAGTTTCCCCCATTGTTAAATCTCATGTTTCTACAGTACATCCATCACAATTCATTCACCGACATTGACACATAATGATGAACTAAAGGCTAAAGTCTGTTTCCTTCAGATGTCATTAATTTTTACTTAATTTCCCTGTTCTTTTATGGGATCACATTGATACTACCTGACATGTAGTTGTCATGTCTCCTTAGTCTCCTCCAGCCTGTGATGGTTTCTCAGACTCTCCTTGTTGTTAGTGACTTGGGTAGTTTTGAGCAGCCTGGTCAGGTGTCCTGTAGAATGTTCCTCTAGAATGTCAGTGTGTGTTTTGCCTGATGTTTTCATCGTGGTAAAACTGGGTTTATAGACTTGTGGTGAGAAGACACAGAGGTCTTTTCTTGTTTTTTTGCGTGTGAATATTCAACGGTAGAAAAGCTTAACCTTTACTCCACTGCATTGCCTTTGTACCTTTGTAAAAACTTGGTGGTTCATACATCTGTGCACGTATTTCTAGACTTTGTATTCTGTTCTGTTGATCTATTTGTGAAATATATGATTACTATAGCTGTGTAATAATCTGTAAATGAGGTAGTGTTACCTCTCTAATGTTTTTTTTTTTTATATTGCTTTTGCTATTGGAGGTCTTCTACATTACCATATGCATTTTAGAATAAGTTCATTAATTTGTACAAAAAGTCTGCTGGATTTTGATTGGGATTGTATTGTATTTATAGATCAACTGGGGAGAACAACATCTTAGCAATTTTGAGTTTTCCAATTCATTAACATATCTATTTATTTAGGTCCTTCATCAGTGTTCTGTAGTTTTTAGTGTACAGTCATTCACATCCTTTGTCAGATATATCCCTAAGTATATCATGTTTTTGATGCTATTTAAGTGGTATTTTTAATCCAATTTTCAATTATTCATTCCTAGTACAGTTGACCCCTGAACAATGTGGGAATGAAGGGGACCAACACATGTGCAGCAGAAAATCCGCATAGAACTTTTGATTCTCCAAAAACTTAACTAGTAATGGCCAACTGTTTACCAAAAGCCTTACCAATAACATAAACAGTCCAATTAACACATATTTTGAATGTTATTAGTATTATATCCTGTATTATGACAATACAGCCAGCTAGAGAAAAGAAAATGTTATTAAAAAACGTAACATATGAAAAAATGTTCAGCATCACTAGTTATCAGAAAAATGAAAATCAAAACCACAATGAGATATCTTCTCACACCAGTTAGAATGGCTGTTATTAAAAAGTCAAGAAACAACAGATGGTGGTGAGGCTGCTGAGAAAAGGGAACACTCGTACCTTCTTGGTGGGAATGCAAGTTAGTTCATCCCCTGTGGGAAGTAGTTTGGAGATTTTGCAAAGAACTTAAAACAGAACTGTCATTCGACGCAGCAATCCCAATACTAGATATAAGCAAAAAAAATCGTTTTACCAAGAAACACATGCACTGGTATGTTCATTGCAGCTCTATTCCGAATAGGAAAGACATGAAATCAACCTAGGTGCCTGTCAGCAGTGGCTTAGATGAAGAAAATATGGAACATATACACCATGGAATATGCAGCCATAAAAAAATAATGAAATCATGTCCTTTGTAACAGCATGGATGCAGCTGGAGGTCATTATCCTAAGGGAATATATACAGGCACAGAACACCAAATATCATGTGTTTTCACTTAGAAATGGGAGCTAAATAGTGGTACTCATGGGCATAAAGATGGCAACAATAGACACTATAGACTCCTAAAGGGGAGAGAAAGTGGTGCAAGAGTTGAAAAACTATTGGGTACTGTGCTCAGTACTTGGATGATGGGAGCAATCATACCCCAAACATCAGCCTCACACAATATACTCAGATAACCTGCACATGTACTCCTGAATCTAAAATAAAAGTTGAATATGTATAAGCAGAAGTGAATCATCATAAAGGTCTCCATTCTCATTGTCTTCCATTGAGTGGGTTGTGGAGGAGGAGGAGTAGATGTTGGTCTTGCTGTCTCAGGGTGGCAGAAGCAGAAGAGGCACAGGAGGTGGAAGGGGAGTCAGGTGAGGCAGGTGCACTTGGTGTAACCTTATGGAAATGCATCATAATTTCTGTCTGTTTTTTTTTTCTCTTTGATTTATTTAAAAATGCTTTATACAGTACTAATCCTTCTTCCCCATTGGCTTTCGTTTCAGTGCTCATATCATAGAAGGGTTCATGTTGTAATAGAAGTCAATAGCAGTCTTAAATAATTGGAAGTCTTTCTATGAGGCTTGCACTGTCTAAGGCCAATTTTTTTTTCTGGCACTGCTTCTTCTACATCTTCTTCCTTGTCAAGTACTGATTGGAAAGCACTCATCTCCATCAGGTCCTCGATTAATTCCTTGAGTTTGGCATCTATTGACTGTTGAATTTCTCCAAGATTCATATTTTGAAACACCTTATCCCCCACATTTTGTTGCTGTATCCATAATCCCTTTCATGATTTCCTTGATTGGCTCTGCCATAAATCCTGTGAAGTAATGTGCAACATCTGGACACAGTTTTCTCCAGAAGAAATGTATTGTTTAGGGCTTGGTGGCTTTCACAGATCTTTCTATAACAACAATGGCATCTTCAGTGGTGTAATTCTTCTGGACTTTCATGGCATTCTCTATCCAGATTCTCTTCCATAGTATTGACAATCCTTTCCATAGAACACTGTGTGTAATGAGTTCTAAAGTTCCTTATGACCCCTGATTGAGAGACTGAATTAGAGATGTTGGGTTTGGAAGCAGGTAGACCACTTTGACACCTTCCGTGTTGTACTCATGGGTTCTGGGTGGTTAGGGGCATTGTCCAATATCAAAAGAACTTTAAAAGAGAGTCCTTTATTGGCAATGCATTTTCTGCCTTCAGGACAAAGCATTGATGAAACCAATCCAGAAAATGTGTTCTTATTGTTGAGTCCTTCTTTTTGTACAACCATAAAACTGTCAGTGGGTGTTGATCTTTTCCTTTCAAGGCTCGAGGTTTGGTAGTTCTACCGATGAGGGCAGTCCTGATTGTAAACTTGACTGCATTTACACAAAACAGTAGAGTTAGCCTATCCCTTCCTGCCTTACATTCTGACGCTTGGTTTTCTTCCTTGCTAGTAAATGTCTTTTGTATCATCTTTTTGTTTGTTTGTTTTTGTTTTTTCCAGAATAGGGCACTGCCATCTGTATTTAAAACCTGTTCAGGCAGATATCCTTTCTCCTCAACGTTTTTCTTCATGGTGTCTGGGGACTCATCTGCCTCCTTTTGCTTGGCAGAGGCTGGTTTTCCTATTATCTTCACAATTTTAAAGGCAAACCTCTTTGTAAAACTAGCAAACCATCCTTTGTTGCCGTTAAATTCTCCAGTTTTAGATTCTTCACCTCTCTTTTGCTTTAACTTGTCATATAATGACTTTGATTTTTCTCAAATCACAATGGCATCTATAAATACACCTTTCTTATAGCAATCCTACACCCACATTAAAGCTGCATTTTCAATATGAGACAAAAATGTATTTCACAAAAAAATGCAAGGTTTGGCTCCTGCTGGCATAGCTGCAGCAATGTCTTTATGAATCCCCTTCCCTTCCCTTCCCTTCTCTTCCCTTCCCTTCCCTTCCCTTCCCTTCCCTTCCCTTCCCTTCCCTTCCCTTCCCTTCCCTTCCCTTCCCTTCCCTTCCCTTCCCTCCTCTCCCTTCCCCTCCCCTCCCCTTCCCTCCCCTCCCCTTCCCTCCTTCTTTCTCTCTTTCTTTCTTTCTTTCTTTCTTTCTTTCTTTCTTTCTTTCTTTCTTTCTTTCTTTCTTTCTTTTCTCACTTTCTTTCTCACTTTCTATCTATCTCTTTCTGTCTCTCTTTCTTTCTTTCTTTTGCAATGGTCCTTATCTAGCTTCATTGATTTTGAAATGGTAGGCAATCATAGCGGCAGAGCTCAATCTATGGTACCTATCAAGTAATTCAACTTTTTTTTTGGTAATGTCATGATTTTTCTTTGCTTCTTGGGAGTACTTCCAGCATCTCTAGTGGCACTTTGTAGTCCCATGATGGTATTCAAGATTTACAGTATTACACTAATCATGATGAAAAATACAGTAGAACCATGAGAGATCACTTTTTACTCTGACATGCAATTTACTGGAGAGATGAAATGCTCAGAGAGTATAAGTGTTATATCACATGCATTTAAGCCACACTTCAGCTCACTGCAATAGCAACAGGAGGTAGTGACAAAATTATTATAGTAGTGTAGTATGTACTAGAGGAAAGTGACTAAGCAAATGTCTAGTACCAGTTAGAGTGTACTGGAGGGAGCCATCTTGTGCTCCTACAAGAATTATGCCCTGAGGTTGGCTGTTGAATCCCTCACTAAATGCTCCTCAGGGTGTTGCCTGACACACACCGCTGAGCTCAACCATAAAAATCTGCACGATGGAATTCAGCCCAATGCAGCGAGAATTCCCATGGACTTCCTCTGTACAAGGCAAAGCATAGGTGCTGTGGGAGGATGAAAACAGGAAGAAGATGTAATCTTGTAATCTCATCCTTAAGGGGTGCTCGGTAGAATGGAGGAGAACAATACATAGATTCCTGAAGATGGGCACCAAAGTGATTGGGGTGGGCCCACAGCAGAGGCCTACAGCTCTGTTCAGAATGCAGAAGCAGGGTGGGCAGAGAGAGGCAGCTCATCAGAGTGCTTGGGCAAGCGTAGGGCCAGCGACTCGCCACTGCAGACAATGTATCTGAGGAAAGCCATTTAAAATAGGTGATAGTCACATTCCATCAAATGTTTGGAAGAGTCCATGGAGGTAGGGTTGTCAATCTCATTACAGCATTTCAGAGACCTCAGAAGATTTGGAAATGAAAAAAGACAAGCAGCACTTGTGGTTCACCTGTGTCAGAATTATGGCTCACCTGCATCTCTGCAATGCACAGGCGAGCTGTGTATTGCAGAGTCACCGGTGAGCCACAGTTTCCTCCCAGTTAGGAGGTCAGTGCTAAGACTCTTGCTCTCTTTCCGTCAAACATGAGATGCCAATTTCTTTCTGGGCAGAGGACAAAATAAAAATTGTCTGTAAACTTTGGCCAGGCACAGTGGCTTACGCTTGTAATCCCAGTACTTTGGGAGGCCGAGGCAGGCAGATTGCCTGAGCTCAGGAGTTCAAGACCAGCCTGGGCAGCATGATGAAACCCCATCTGCACTAAAATACAACATATTAGTTGGACATGGCAGCGTGTGCCTGTAATCCCAGCTACTGAGGCTGAGGCAGGAGAATCGTTTGAACCCAGAAGGCGGAGGTTGCAGTGAGCCTAGATCGCACCACTGCACTCCAGCCTGGATGACAGAGTGAGACTCCATCTCAAACAAAGAAAAAAAAAATAGCAAATTTTTCTTTGTGACAAATTCCAAAATTATTAGCTTCATTTAAATTTACTTTCCTTTTCATCTTTCAATGTCGTCAAGACCAAAAGCATTGCTTAATAATTTTGTTTATAAACTCATATTGCAGCACAGGGCATGATCTGTCCTCAAGGCAAAGATGATGAGTTACACCTTTCTTGAAAACATGCAAGTAGGTATCTCAGCAAAGGCTACTCATGTGTTATTATGAGTAAATCACTGGCAGTGAATGTGCATTTTTTTTTTTTTAATGGATGGATGAGTACACACCTTCTTTTGAGGGCAGGTTCTATCTGTACTTCTTTCACCTACTATATTATAGGAGCTTAGAATCCCAGCTGCTGGCTCTGAGCTGAAGTTCTCTGATGGCTTGTGCAGGGTGGACTGGCCTTCTTCCCCTGTCTGTGTGTCTACTGCTGACCTGTGGCTTTGCCGAGGCAGGGAAGCTGCTGGTAGTGCCCATGGATGGGAGCCACTGGTTCACCATGCGGTCAGTGGTGGAGAAGCTTATCCTCAGGGGGCATGAGGTGGTGGTAGTCATGCCAGAGGTGAGTTGGCAACTGGGAAGATCACTGAATTGCACAGTGAAGACTTATTCAACCTCATACACTCTGGAGGATCAGGACCGGGAGTTCATGGTTTTGGCCGATGCTCACTGGACAGCACGACTGCAAAGTGCATTTTCTCTATTAACAAGTTCGTCCAATGGTATTTTTGACTTATTTTTTTCAAATTGCAGGAGTTTGTTTAAGGACAAAAAATTAGTAGAATACTTAAAGGAGAGTTCTTTTGATGCAGTGTTTCTGGATCCTTTTGATGGCTGTGGCTTAATTCTTGCCAAATATTTCTCCCTCCCCTCTGTGGTCTTCGCCAGGGGAACATTTTGCCACTATCTTGAAGAAGGTGCACAGTGCCCTGCTCCTCTTTCCTACATCCCCAGAGGTCTCTTAGGGTTCTCAGATGCCATGACTTTCAAGGAGAGAGTATGGAACCACATCACACACTTGGAGGAACATTTGTTTTGCCCCTATTTTTAAAAAAATGTCTTAGAAATAGCCTCTGAAATCCTCCAAACATCTGTCACGGCATATGATCTCTACAGCCACACATCAATTTGGTTGTTGCGAACGGACTTTGTTTTGGACTATCCCAAACCCGTGATGCCCAACATGGTCTTCATTGGTGGTATCAACTGCCACCAGGGAAAGCCAGTGCCTATGGTAAGTCCTCTCTCCTTTAGCACATTAAGAATAATCTGCCTTTGGACATTAAAAGAAGATTTCTTACTGAACTATAATCTATCATTTACATTTGTCCCATTTGGAATTTCTTTCTGGTTTAAGGAATTCTTTTGTACCAATTCACTTAATTGTTGGGTAGCAAATTGTATAAAGCAGCTCTTGTTGATATGTAAGTGTATACAATTGATATAATTGTAGATCATATCTAGGCTGCAATCTAAATGCTAGTTTTGGAAACATACCAAAAACCACAGTAAGAAATGAAACTTCCTTTTTTTTTTTTTTTTTTTTTGCTAATTCTATACTACCCCCAGAGGAAAATACTCTTAGCAGTTTTGTGTGAATTCTTTTCAATTTTTTTGAAATTATACTATGTATATGCACATATTTAGGGTAAATTCTCACTTCTATTTTATTAATATAAAATCTAATATCATGCTGGCTATGATTTTTTTTATGTTAGATTTTTCTCTTGTCAATAAGTTAAAGATATCTTTACAGGTCAATGCATACAGATTTGATATGTTCTTTTAATAATTGCATAATAGTCTTTACTTTGGATGCAATGTAGTTTTCCAGCCGATTAATATTGATAGAGATTTAAGTGTTTTCCCCTTTTGGGGTTTATGAACAATAATAAACATTCTTATATACTTTCTTTGTATATATTTCCATATTTTTGCTTTTATCTCAGTAGGGTATCGTCCTATGAGTATGGTTCCTTGGTTTTCATTAAATAAGATTGGCATCCTTTTGCTATTACATCTTCCTATTCAAGAATATGAATCCCTCATTATTTATTCTGATTTTGTTTTATGTCCATAAATAAAATTTTGCACTTTATAGAAGTATTTTATCTTTCTTATTAACCTTTATTCCCCTGCATTTCATTGTTTTTGAAACCATTATTTCAAAATGGTTTCAAAATTTTCCCATTCTCTTTTGAATTAATTATGCATAATTAATGTACTGCTTTGAGTTGTACACATTTATCTTGTATGTAGTCATATTACTAACCTCTTGTATTAGTATGTAAGGTGTATTAAGTGTGCAATATCATCTGCAAATTATTCCCTCCCCTGTTATTTATACTTCTTATTTTGGTGGAGCATATAGTTCCAAAACATTATTGAATAATGTTGTTGGTCTAGCCAGTTTAAATTAGGATTCGGTCACTTGCAATTGAAAAAGTCTTGACAAACATAAGAGTAAGATTCTTGGCAAATGCATAGTTGCCAAATCCAGGTGAAACATCTGGTGTCTCATCTAAGTATATTATTTTATTAGGGATGGAGTATACATTTTTATCTATTGTTCTGGCTTCTTACAAGGTTCAGTAGACTTGGTAACACAGTCATATTCTCTCACACATTGGCAGATGTTCGGTGAAAGAGTGACTGTTCAACCAACTCATGGGAAAATGCAACCACGCTCTTTCTAAAAAGCAGGGAGACTACAGCTATAGGCCTTTCAAATGAAACATGACTTTCAGCTCTTGGCAAGACCAGGCAAGGAGATGCAAGTTGTAGGACGCTAAGAGATAGACTTATCGAAGTGTCTCTCCCCAGTTTACCCTCCATCAATTACAGTACCAGCCACCACTCAGGTATTGACTGCAGCCTCATGGCCTCTAGCCAAGCGTGTGGCCTGCCACTTTCTGAACCTATGCTGAATTTGTTGTGGCTCAAAGGGTCACCCAAAGGGCTTTAGAGATATAGAAATCTGTATATGATTCTATACCATCTATAATGGTATATGATAGAGAGATTTATAAAATATGAAACAGTGAACCATATATAGTTTTACATATTTTGCTTATTCGTATATCTTCAATGGTGTATAAAATATATGCATTTATATACCTTTACAGAATATATATATATATATATATATATATATATATGAGATAGGATTTATAGATGTGGAAGGTTATATATTAATGTATATATTTATAAATATAAAATAAATATAATTATCAAAGAAGAATTCGATCATAAAGAGTGCCCTTTGGCGAAGAACCTTGGATATGGCTCAACCACAGAAGTAAATTGTCATAGAAAGATTTATGAGCACTGCATAGTGTTCCTTTCTTGTTTCGTATGGGCAGTGTGTGTCTTGGAAAAGTATACAGTTTTTTGTACCTTGTTGGCCAACAGGATTCATAGTCTGCATTTCATCTGTCTGATGAAAAGAAAGCATTGCTTGATGATAAAGTGTGTGTGTGTATGTGGTGTTTGTGCACGAATGTGTCTGTATGTGCAGGTGTGTTTGTGTGCAATGTCTTAAGCTCTACACAGGAGATTTTTTGTCTGAAAGGTTTCCTATAACAAAATCTTATTGAGTCTATCCAGGGGAATTACACCCAGGGATGTAATTAAATACTTTAACAAAGATGGTAGATCATCATTCAGGAGAACATTAAAACAGTTTTGTTTTGTATTTTTAGTACAGACAGTGTTTCACCATATTGGCCAGGCTGGTCTCTGACTCCTGACCTCAAGTGATCCACCTGCCTCGGCCTTTCAAAGTGTTGAGATTACAGGCATGAGCCACCACACCCGGACTTAAAATGGTTTTAATGAGAAAAAAAGAAAATCACTTCCACTTTTCTTGACTTTTTGGTGAATTACAGCAGAATTGATGGTTGAATCCAGTTATAAAGAATTTGGGCTCAGTCAACACCATCTAGGGCCAGTGCAGCTCTGGAGAACTGGGGCTGGGATGTGGTTACAGCAAGAAAAGATCTGTGCTTTCCCCATTGCTCTCGCATTCTGTTTTTGATCTAAATTCAAATTTACCTGTTAGTGGGCAAGCCCAAGGCCTCCCTCCAAGATTATTTATTTCAACTTTTTATTATCAAAGTTTTCAAACATATACCGAGGAGAGGCTGTAGCATAATGTATACCCATGTAGCCATTCTTAGGTTAAATAATTTTCAATATCTTTCTGTACTGCTTCATCTTTCTTCGTTTTTTCTTTCATTTTAAAGAAAAATTTTGACTTTTCTTTTAAAAGAAAATCTTGGCATGTTGTCTCATCATGAAATACTTCACTAAATATAAAAAATAAGGAAAATTTGTTTCACAGCCACAGTTCCTAAGACAATCAATAATTCTTTAATATTATCTCATTTTCAATCCATAATTAAATTTATCCTGATTGTCTTTAAAAATCTTTTACATGTAGATCAATGGAATAGAATTTACAATCCAGAAATAATCCCATACATTCTTTGCCTTGATTTTTACCATGGTGCCAAGACCATTGAAATGGCAAAGAATAGTGTCTTCAACAGAGGGCTCTAAGACAACTGCATATCCAAGTGCAAGAGAATGTAAGTTGCACCCTTACCTTGTATCATATACAAAAATTAACTTGAAATGGACCAAAGACCTAAATAGAAAATCTAAAACTGTAAAACTCTTAGAAGAAAACATTGGGGAAAATATTCATGACCTTGAATTTGGAAATGGTTTCTGAGATGTTTTTTTCTTGTACCAAAAGTACAAGAAATTAAAACAAGAAAAAGAAGAGATAAATCTTTATCATAATGTTTTTATACAAAAACTTTTGTATATCAGAGGACACTATCAAGAGAATGAAAAGACAACTCGTGTGGGCACCCTTATTAAAGTGTGCAGATTAACACGCACATGCTTGACATGGAGGCTCTCTCATGACACATCCTGTGTTTTCCTTCCCTATGAAACTTTCTGAACAGGTGAGCCCAGGTGGAGCCTCCACCTGCGTTAGAACCTAAGCTTTCTGTGGCTTTCTGAAATCCCTGGTGTCAGAAGTCAAGTGTGGATTACTGCTGCTTTCCTTGACTGTCTCTCTCTCTCCTTCAATCTGTGTTGATAATGTGATATCAAACATGATACACTACCTCTTTTGGCCCACTCAACATATTCTGGTGGTGCCCTCTGGCCTGCACCCTCCCACTGGCTATGAAGGTCACCCATGATCTCGCCTTCCTTAGCCTCACTGGCTTTATTTTATGCAACACTCCAACTCTCCTCTTTCCACCTGTTACTTTTCCCTCCCTATTTTATTCCTCTTTTCTATCTCCTTCCCCACCTATGTCTTTCGTTTCTGTCACCTTTTCTGTGTGATTCCTGCCCCAGAGGGGTCAACAAGAAGGGGCATCCCACGGGCTGACTCATGCGGGGAAGCTGTCAGTGATTAATTAGCAAGGCAGGGAAGTTGTACCCCAAGTCTTGGTTTCGACGCTAGAGGACTTTAGGAGGTGGTTCAATGTAGTGTTTGAGCACATGGACCCTGGAGTCATCCAAGCCTGATTTCATAAGTACTTCAGTTGTGACACTTGTGTAAACTTGGGTAAAAACTCAGTGTTATCTAGATTAAATATGATAATGCATGCAGATGCCTGGCATGTGGCAGTGAATCAACAATACCCGTAATTGTGTGGGTGATATGCGTTTTCCAGCACAATTATTTCCAGCCTCCACAAGATTAATGATCTTAACCAGGCATTCAGACTCTCTTCAAAACAACATGGTGAGATATCAATATTGTCTTCTTGATGCAAGTTTCCCTTGAATGATTTAAACTTCAGATGGTGGACTGTCTCCTTAGGAAGAATTTGCAAATTAAATATAATAAAAGCTAACATATATTGGAGGCTCACCAGGTACCAGGTGCTACCCTGAGTACTTACATGGAAGCTGGCATTATTGGCTGACCTATTTTGCAGATGATGAAACTGAGGCACAGAGGGGTTGAGTGACTTGCCCAAGGTTATTGCTCAAGTAAGTAGGGGAGCCAGGATTCAAATCCATACATTCTTTGTAAAAAAAAAAAAAAAAGTTAAAAAACCTGAGTGTGGTGGCTCACACATGTAATCACAGCACTTTAGGAGGCCAAGGCAGGAAGATCACTTAAGCCCAGGAGTTTGAGACCAGCCTGGACAACACAGGGAGACACTGTCTCTACAAATTTTTTTTTTAAAGTTAGCTGGGCATGGTGGCACATGACTGTGGTCCCAGCTACTCAGGAGGCTGAGGTGGGAGGATCGCCTGTGCCCAGGAGGTCAAGGCTGCAGTGAGCCATGATTATTCCACTCCATTCCAGCCTGGATGATAGACTAAGACCTTGTCTCAAATTAAATAAATAAATTAATTAATTAATTAAATTTAAAAATTGATATGTAATTCATGTATCATAAAATTCAGTGGTTTTCCATGTGTTCCCAGATATAATCAGCCATCACCAATATCTAATTCCAGATCATTTTCCTCACTCCAAAAAGAAACCCCATGCCCACTGGCAGTCACTCTTTATTTCTCCCCCTTCTCCTACCCCTCAGCATTAATTTACTTTCTGTCTGTATAGATTTGCCTATTCTGGGCATTTCATGGAAATAGAAGCCTTTATGACTGGCTTCTTTCACTTAGTTTCATGGCTTATCCATGTTGTAGCATGAATCAGTATTTCATTCCTCTTCATGGCTGAATATTCCATTATATGGATTTACCACTTTTTTTTTATCCATTCATCAGTTGGTGGACATTTGGGTTGTTTCCCCTTTTCAACCATGAAAAATAATGTTACTGTGAACATTTGTATACAATAGACCCTGATGTTCTAATTTTTGAGCCCATGTGCCTAACCTCTATTCCTGACTGCCTCCCTGTGTTGACAGAAAACATTTTGGGAAATGTCTGGCCTTTTGGGAATGTCACATGGAGTGAACTGTGCCTAGAGTGGGTTTGACTTAGGACATCACATGGTCTCAAATCCCTCAGCAAACATGAGTTAGTCTTGTTTTTGTTGGTGTTACAAAATAACATTATTATTTTAGAAAAAAATAATTTTTTTTCTAAAAAATTTAATATTAGATGTCCTTCATTGAACAAACATCTGTGGAGAGGAAGGCATTGATTAGTTACAAACCGTGAAACATACTTTGAAAGAAAAGTAAAGGATGCAAAGAGAGCTGATCATAGGGGACCTTGCAGGATGAGGAGTGGCAATCTTGGGAGAAGTTGGGGCGACAGTGTGCCAAGCAGGGAAGATGGCAGGTGCAGCGTGAAGCCAAATGTTTGGAATCACAGTGTGTTCTTTCCCTTCATCCCTGTGTTCCAGGGTCTCTTTACTTCACAAACATGGGCAAGTAGAAATCCTACTTTATGTCTCTTCTGAATAATCCCTTTGTCATGGCTTACTTAGTGACCTGTGCCCCTCGCCACTGCTCCTGGGACCACAACCCACATTGTTACAAGCCCCTGAAGGAAGTTATAAACACCTTATCTTCTACTAGGACAGGTGCCCCTGGAGCTGTCTGGCTGGGCAAGCCATACTTACCTGCACTTCCCTATCCTGTCCGTGGGTGATTCAGACTTGACTGTTGTTATCACACTAAACCGAACTGGGGTTCACTCACCCAGTGCAGTAAGGCCAAACATCCACACTGAGATTTGCAGTGGGAGAAAGGAAGGCGTTTATGGGCAGGGCACCAAGCAAGGAGTATTGGGAGGCTTATACTTAAGACCCGACTTCTCTGATGGCTTGCAAGTAAGGGTTTTTAAGGGCAAGGACACATTTTAGGAAAACAGAAGTTACAAGAAGAAATCTCAAAATCATCGCAAATCAATACACAGAGGTTACACATCGGTTTGGTCATGAGAAATGAAGGCTTGCAGGTCATAGGTGAATTCAAAGATTTTCTGATTTGCAATTAGCTAAGGAAGAGAAGCTTCATTTAAAATTTGGGGTTCGCAGAAAAGAATGTTAGCTCTTGCTCATGAGTGTGACTTCCTCCAGGAACAAACAATGGCTGTCAGAGTTCAGTTCTCGGTTCCCTTTATCTGAGGTCTGCCTGCCAATGGATCCATTTGGTGGAAGTCCAGGTTTCCGAAAAACAACTCAGGGACATATGTTAAGATGTAATCTTTAGTTTCTATAGGGAATCAAGCATCTCTGGACTCTAACATCCTTGGCTATTGTTTTAGGCTACTATTACCTTCTTGCTTATCAAGTGCCTTATTTATTTCTCAGGGTCAGGTAGGTGCCTGGAATTTCCTTTGAAAGAACCCAAGAATATCCTTTATTTCCATGTTTGGAGGAGCCCACAGGCCCCTAAAAGGGATTCCTGCTTCATCTCACCCTTTTGGACTTCCCTCAAGATCTGGGCACAGAGCATTCTGACTTCTGCAACCCCACCCCACAGCCTATCAAATAGATTAAATTGCTCCCGCATCCCATGTCACATATGTCTGTGTAACTTGGTGAGCTAATCTGTAGTGGATTCACTGACATGTAGTTACGTTTTTATAGCCATTTCATAAAATATTCATAAATTCAATTTTGCCATTTTAGAATTCTAGATTCAGCAAATTTCTTTTTTTAAGTCTCAAACAGTTTGCAGGTCCTTTGAAATCTTGCAGGTAGGTCCTGGCTCCATTACTTATGGGTCATAGGTCATAGAAGGGTCTGAAAGAGTGAGCACCTTAGAAGTAAACCTCTCCATAGGGTCCACCTTTCCAGACCTTCCTATTCCCAACATGAAATTACCTTCATGCACATCTTTGGGTCTCTCCTCTTTTCAAAATGCCAGGTATCCTCCATTTACTTTTGGGAAATCTGCTCTTGCCCACAGAGATTTGTTTTTATCTTAGGATTTACTTCTTTCATGCCACTGGAATATGTCCCAAGCCTGAGTCATTCAGTCGGCAGCAATCCGTGAGAAAAAAAAATCGGCCTTTGTGTGATACTCAGGAGATGCCTGAGGACACCTTGACTCCCACAGCACCAACCAGGGCAGGCCTGGGTCTCCAGTGGAGCTACTCTTTAGGGATCATCATTATGACTAACAGACATGCCAGATTCCTCTGGCTAGTCTCCAGTGCAGACACACACACACACATGCCATTCTTAGTATAGTCAAAGCTCACAGGAGTAAGAAAAATGTTTTCTAATACCTTCTTTATTTGCAAGAAGGTGTTAGGAATTCAAGGGATGATATGCATAGTGATGTTAGTTTCTTTTCTTCAGCTCCTTCCTCCAACTCATGTTCTGTAGGGACTTCTGGAACTAAGAACAGGACCCACAGATGAGCCATAGGATTTTCAGAGCAAGGCTTTGCTTGGAAGGGCCCAGACCAATGTCCACAGCACAGTGGAGGTCTAGTATAAAGAATGTGAAGTTTGTAGCATCTCTTGATCCTGCTATTCCTACATGCTTGCTTAAGCCATTCGTCCTCTAGATGAACTGTTCTTTGAAGGAAACCTGCCTAATGTCTGACTGCTCAAGAAGGTGGACCTGAGCTCTGTTCCCTTTGCAACCTTCCTGGAGTCTTTTTGCTATCTAGATGAACTCAAAGCAAGATGCTGCCACCCCCGTGACTTTGATCATTGTAAGCTGGCAATCCTCTTGGGAGACTGCTCCTAGCTTGGACTGACCTGAGTCTTCGCATGCCTTGAACGATGAATTTGCATCCTGGTTATGTTCCCTGTGGGAGCCAGCCCTGTCCTTGGAGTGGCCCCTCTAATCATGTTGCTCAGGCTTGTCCCTTCCTGGGCCCCAGAACACCTCCAATGCCAAACTTGTAGGTGAGAACAGGATGTTGCATGCCAACCAGGTGTGCGTGACTAGCTCTGGGCGAGTCTGTTCTAGTAATGCTAGGCACCACCTCTCACTGCGACAGCCTAGTTTCTACACAGGTCTTGCTCTGGGACCACCCTCAGCAGTGTGATTAGCAGGCAAGGCCAGTGTGACCCTCCCTTTCTGGGCCTCAGTTGAGAAACCTGAAGCTCAGGAGAGGAGTCACTCCCCTGGCTGATGGGTGGCTGGGCCGGAAGCAAATACCAGGCTTTCTGACTGCAGCTCTAGTACCTCACCACGTACTGGCTAGAGTTACACTTCTCAAATCTTAATTTCCTAAAGGCAAGTAACAGTTTGAATGTTGTTATATTGTGATGTATAATAAGAAATATATATGTTTGTCTTTGTTTCCTGGCCAGAGGTCCTGAAACCGTAAGTGGTGGGAGCGATAAAGGTGAACAGAGAATCTTTGTTTTTCAAAACAGATCTGTTTCCATCACATTTAAGTTTATGTAAAGGACATGTAAAGTCTCTAAGGATGAGGGCTGGTTGCCAGGGAACCAAACCCTTGCAATTAGAGGGAAGAAAGGAGAGAGTGATTGAAGATTGATTTGATCACCAGTGGGCAACAATCTAATCAATCATGCCTACTATGTAAGGAAGCCTACATAAAAACTCAAAAAGGCGGGGTTCAGAGAGCTTTCAGGTTGCTGAAGGTGTGGAGGGTGGGGCACCCAGAGATGGCAGATGGGGCTCCATGGCCTTACCCCCATATCTTGTTCTTTGCACTTTTTCCTCTGGCTATTCATCTGTGTTGTTTGCAATATCCTTTGTGATAAACCAAACCTAGTAACTAAACTGTTTTCTTCAGTTCTGTGAGTCATTCTAGCAAATGATTGACTCCAAGAAAGAGGGTGTGTGAACCTCTGATTTTTGCCAAGTCAGACAGAAGTTGTGGGTAACCTGGGAACCTACTATTTGCAATTGGTGTCTGAAGTGGAGGCAGTCTTGTAGGACTGAGCCCTTAACCTGTGGGGTCCATGCTAACTCTGAATTCAATTCAGAATGGAATTGAATTGTAGGATACCCAGCTGGTGTTAGAGAATAGGTCCATGTGAAATAAAATCCCCACACATCATGGACATAACAGACAACGTCAATGATGAGGAATCCAGCAAGTTCGGGATAGAGAATTGGCAGGGGGTCTCCAGGGGTCTCTCCAAGTTGTCTTCAACGTGTTGCTATAACTTTTCTGAGAGGGAGAGGCAGACTGGTGGAGATGAAGAGAAAATCCTGGAAGTTCAGGTGAAAGTTGACATAGGGTGTAGTTGATCCATATTCACTGTGTGCTTAAAATGGTTAAATATTAATTTGGGTTCTTACATATTAAAGGGCAAAATTCAGAGCAAGGGAGAGGTAGACAGGGCCTATGAAAAGCAGTGGTTAGTTTAGGGAAAATAGCTAGGAGCCCTGTGATTTGGAGTGTGAAAACTCTTCATTACTGTTGTTACTTTAACTGGTTCCAGGATGGCCTACCTGCTTCGTGCATTTCAGAGAATTTCCGCAGAGGTTTTCTTCTTAGCCCTTTGGGGCATGGTTGTAGGTGACAAGCTGCTGGTGATCCCTCAGGATGGAAGCCACTGGCTTAGTATGAAGGATATAGTTGAAGTTCTCAGTGACCGGGGGCATGACATTGTAGTGGTGGTGCCTGAAGTTAATTTGCTTTTGAAAGAATCCAAATACTACACAAGAAAAATCTATCCAGTGCCGTATGACCAAGAAGAGATGAAGAACCGTTACCAATTGTTTGGAAACAATCACTTTGCTGAGCGATCATTCCTGACTGCTCCTCAGACAGAGTACAGGAATAACATGGTCGTTATTGGCATGTACTTCATCAACTGCCAGAGCCTCCTGCAGGACGTGGGCACCCTGAACTTCCTCAAGGAGAGCAAGTTCGATGCTCTTTTCACAGACCCAGCCTTACCCTGTGGGGTGATCCTGGCTGAGTATTTGGGCCTACCCTCCGTGTACCTCTTCAGGGGTTTTCCGTGTTCCCTGGAGCATACATTCAGCAGAAGCCCAAACCCTGTGTCCTATATTCCCAGGTGCTACACAAAGTTTTCGGACCACATGACTTTTCCCCAACGAGTGGCCAACTTCATCGTTAATTTGTTGGAGCCCTATCTATTTTATTGTCTGTTTTCAAAGTACGACGAACTCGCATCAGCTGTCCTCAAGAGAGATGTGGATGTAATCACCTTATATCAGAAGGTCTCTGTTTGGCTGTTAAGATATGACTTTGTACTTGAGTATCCTAGGCCAGTCATGCCCAACATGGTCTTCATTGGAGGTACCAACTGTAAGAAGAGGAAAGACCTGTCTGAGGTTGGTGGGTTTATTTCTTTTGGGCTGCTTGGTTTCTTCCAGGCTCTGTTCTCCCTCACTCATTTGGATCCTTGAGCCAACTGTCCCTTGGAGGATTTCCTGGAGAAACTGTGGTGGGAAAGTGATACCCAGCTTGGAGCAGCAGGGACACATAGGAGACCTGAGGCTGAAGTGGTACATAGGCATTTGGATGAAGACAGGGCTCATGCTTGGCAATAGTAGATTTGCTTAGTTAGGTAATCTGGGGACAGTCACATAATCATTGAATGAGCCTTAGAAATGTCCCAGTTCAAACAGAGGTGAAGGCTTGACTAAGGGAACAGGTCCAGGTTAAAATCAATTTTCCCAACTCTGTCGCATGCTTTGTCTCTGGACCTTAAGCCAAGGACCAGCAAACTACAGCCTGTGAGCCTAGTCTCCCCAAAGGCCTGTTTTTTGTTTGTTTGTTTGTTTTTTGTTTCCTTTTATGTTGAGACCTGTTTGTTTGTTTGTTTCTGAGACGGAGGCTTGCTCCGCCCAGGCTGGAGTGCAGTGGCGCAATCTCGGCTCACTGCAGGCTCCGCCCCTGGGTTCACGCCATTCTCCTGCCTCAGCCTCCTGAGTAGCTGGGACTACAGGTGCCCGCCACCTTGTCTGGCTAATTTTTTGTGTTTTTAGTAGAGACAGGGTTTCACCATGTTAGCCAGGATGGTCTCGAGATCCTGACCTCGTGATCCGCCTACCTCGGCCTCCCAAAGTGTTGGGATTACAGGCGTGAGCCACAGCGCCTGGCCGAGACCTGTTTTTATATGGCCCAGAGCTAAGAATGGTTTTTATAGTTTTAAAACAATTTAACAATGAAGAATATGTGCCATGGACATATTTGGTCTGCAAAGTCTACCCATTTACTATCTGGCCTTTTCAGCAAAAGGGGGACGGCCTCTGACCTAAGGCAAGTGTTTACGGATGGCCTCCTGACATGTAGGAAAAGGGCCCAGAGTTACTTTGGAAAATAAAAATCTGTGAGTTTTAAATTTTAATGTAAATATTTACACATTTGAAAGGCTTCAGGCAACTCCCTCTATCTTTTATGCCAGATTTTCTTTTCCAGTTCCTCTTTTTATCAGAGAGAAAGCCTCAAACAGATCCCAAAGACCCCTGCCTCTCTTCTTTACACCTGCTGATTTCTCTGTTAACAAATTGAACAGTCGGCAGTAGCCACTGTGAAAAGGCAAGGGTGAGGAGATGGGGATAACTGAACTGGTTCCAGGGAGTCTGGGGCATGAAATAAAAACTTAGAATGTCAGGAATCTTTTTATTGGGACATAATATAGTTGTACACATTTTGGGGGTTCATGTGATATTTTGATACATGTATACAATGTGCAATGATCAAATCAGGGTAATTAAGATATCCATCACCTTGAACATTTATTCCTTCCTTATGTTGGGAACATTCCCATTCTTCATTTCTAGCTATTTTGAACTGCAGAATACATTCTTGTTAATTGTAGTCACCCTACTGTGCTGTCGCACTTTGGACTTATTCTATCTAAGGGTATTTTTGTGCCCATTAACCAACCCTTTTTCTTCTTTTCTTTTCTTTTCTTTTGAGACAGAGTCTCACTCTGTCACCCAGGCTGGAGTGCAGTGGTGCGATCTCGGCTCACTGCAAGCTCCACCTCCCCGGTTCAAGCGATTCTCCTGCCTCAGCCTCCTGAGTAGTTGGGACTATAGGCATGTGCCACCGCGCCCAGCTAATTTTTGTATTTTAGTACAGATGGGGTTTCACCATGTTGGCCAGGATGGTCTCGATCTCTTGACCTCGTGATCCACCTGCCTCAGCCTCCCAAAGTGCTGGGATTACAGGCGTGAGCTACTGTGCCCGGCATTCTTCTTTTTCTTCTTCTTTTTTTTTTTTTTTTGGATCAGTGTTCTTTATTGGCCCTTTAGATGTTTTTCTCTTTTCTGTCAAAGTTTTTGGAGTATTACAAATTTTATTTTATCTTATTTCTTTTTTCTTTTTCTTTTTTAACCAACCATTTTCCCCCCTACTTTCCTACTTACCCTTTCCACTTTCTGGTAATTACCAGTGAACTCTCTACCTCCATGAGATCCACTTTTTTAGCTCCCATATATAAATGAGAACATGTGGTATTTGTCTTTCTGTGCCTGGATTATTTCACTTAACACAATGACTTCCAGTTACATTCATGTTGCTGCACATGATAGGTCTTCATTCTTTGTTATGGCTGAATAATTTTCCATTGTGCATATGTACTGTCTGTGAGTGGAAAACAAAATCAACAAAAAACTCAAAGGGTTTTTCCTGTTTTCTCACTCAACAACAAACAACACAGAAGACTTCTGTGAACCAATGTGTGGGTTTTTTTTTTTTTTTTTCCTCCATACACCAAGCAAGCAGGCAATTCTGCCAGATACCAGCTGGGTGTCCTCTAATTCAGTTCTGACAGTGTTCACCTGAAGATAGCATCAGGTCCCACAGAGATAGGGCTCAGTCCCTAATTTACATTTGAAGAATATAAATTAGTACAGCCACTATGAAGAACAGTATGGAGATTCTAAAAAAACAAAAACAAAACAAAACAAAAAACAGAACTAGAACTGCCCCAATATATCCCATTGCTGGGTGTATATCCAAAATAAAAAAATATGTTGAAGAGATATCTGCACTCCCATGTTTATTATAGCACTATTCACAATAGCCAAAATATGGAGTCAACCTAAGCACATATCAACTAATGAATGGATAAAGAAAACATAGGACTGTAATATTGTGAAATATATATTTGGTCTTCGTCCTCATTTCCTTGTACAGATTTTTCCCTTCCTTAGTTAAATTTGTTCCTAGGTATTATATATTCTTTGTAGCTTTTGTAAATGGCGTTGATTTCCTTTTCAGTTTTTTCTCTGTTGGCATTTATAAATGCTACTGATTTTCGTAAGTAGATCTTGTATCCTGCAACTTTACTGAATTTCCTTGTCAGTTCTAACAGCTTTTTGGTGGAGTGTTTAAATTTTTCTAAATATATTATGTCATCTGAGAAGAAGAATAATTTGACTTCTTCCTTTCCAACTTGGATGCCCTTTATTTCTTTGTCTTGCTTAATTGCTTTGGATAGGACTTCCAGTACTATGAAGAATAACAGTGGTGACAGCCAGCATCTTTGTCTTATTCCAGATTTTAGAGGAACAGTTTTCAGTTTTACCCTTTTCAGTATGATGTTAGCTATGGGTTTATCATATATGGCCTTTATTGTTTTGAGGTATGTTCCTTCTGTAGCCAGTTTATTGAGAGTGTTTATCATAAAGGGATGTTGAATTTTGTTGAATGTTTTTTCAGCATCTACAATGATCGTATGAGTTTTGTCCTAATTCTGTCAGTGTATTAATATCAATATGTCAATACATGTATCACATTTATTGAGTTGTATATGTTGAATCATCCTTGCATCCTGGGATGAGTCCCACTTGATCATAATTAATTATCTTAACGTGTTATTGGATTTGGTTTGCTGGTATTTTGTTGAGATTTTTGCATCTATGTTCATCAGAGATATTAGCCTGCAGTTTTCTTTTTTTATCGTGCCCTTGTCTGGTTTTGGTATCAGGGTAACACTGGGCTCATAGGATGAGTTTGGAAGTATTCTCTCCTCTTCATTTTTCTGTAATAGTTTGAATAGAATTGGTATTAGTTCTTTGAAAAATGGTTGGTAGAATTCAGCAGTGAATCCATCCGGTCTTGGGCTTTTTTGAATGAGAGACTTTTTATTACTGCTTCAATCTTATTACTTATATTGGTTTGTTGAGGTTTTCTATTTCTTCTTTGTTCAATCTTGGTAGGTTGTATGTGTTCAGAAATGTATCCATTTCCTCTAGGTTTTCTAATTTGTTGGCACATAGTAGTTCACAATAGTCTCTAATGATCCTTTGTATTTCTGTGGGGTCAGTTGCTATGTTTCCTTTTTCATTTCTGATTTTATCTTCGTG